ATCGTACAGCTTGCAAGTGAGAAGGTCAGAAATCAATCCCAGGCAGTGTGACTCACACTTCACCCCATAAGCCACTGTGGCATGGGGGCAGCTGTAGGCGAGCAGAGGAGTGGTTGGTTCAGGGAGGTAAAGGGTGTGAAGACTGGGCGATTGGTTTGAAGGCCAAGGGAGAACCAACGAGGAAGCCGAGAGACTTCCATGTTGAGCAACGAGGAAGCCAGTGCGGTTTGCTGAGCTAGCACCTTCAAGCGAGGAGCAGGTTGCTGGGGTAAGTGTGGAATGACCACCGCAGTTGGGGATACGTTGAGTTTGAGGTGCCCCTTGGACATTCAGGTGGATTTCCAAGCAAGCTACTAATGAGGCTCTGCTGTACTCATGGGAGAGGTCCTGGCGAGAGACAAGAGAGTTGGCTGTTGTTGGAATAATGCTTCGTTCTTGCTGCTTGATTGTTTAAAGCTTTAGAAAGGGGCTATTTACAAATGCCTTGGTTGTATTCTTTATGTTTGACTTGTGTTTAAATTTTAAATCTATGATCACGAGTTATTATATTCACCCCCTTTACCCTTCCCCCTTTACCCTTCATATACACACACACACACACACACACAGAAAGACAGATGATGGCTATGGATACACTTGAACTAGGTAAAGGAGTTTCCAAGCTAAAGACACAGTTACTGGCCCCAAGCACTCATTGTCTCATACAGAGGAGTAGAGAGAAGTGGCCAGCTTATGCCGTCTCCTCTTTCACCTGATTATTAATCCATCACATTGTACTTTATTCAGGTCTCAGGGACTGTCTTATGACAAGTCTAGGAGTTGAGTTTAAGTCATCCTGGGTGACTTGAACCTCTCTGTCCAAGGACGTGACCGAATATCCGGAGAGACTGATCCGAGCCGGAGTGCGTGGACAGAAGTGTGAATTCAGATAACTCCAGGATACCCTGTGTGAACAGGAGTAGGCTGGGGAGGGGATGGAGAGCAGGGTGCCGGTGGGCTCCAGGGCACAGTTAGCCACGGCTGTGCCTCATTTGCCCCATGTCAAGCTTTCTTTCCCGTAGATCCTAAGCTGTCTCCAAGAGCTAGGATCTAATTAGTTTGCATTTGATTTCTTTGCTGCCTAATGAACTACCTCCGTAGTTCTAGCTGTGATGTCATTAGCATCTCATTGCCTTGGGCACCAACTCAGGAGAGAGAGTCTTAAGCAGTCCCAGAATCCTACAGGAATCATACCAATTTCCTTCATAATGACTCATCCACCTCCATGACCTGTCGGTTCCTACCAGCAAAGCAGACCCTGCGTGAGGATGGGTCAGTCACTTTTATCATCCTCGTATTGTTCCTGAGTCTAGGTGGGTCAGGGTGTACACGCCTAAGGCCATGGGCACATCCACAATGAGATTCTGAACGTTGAGGATGCCAATATTCTCATTCCACAATATTCTATTGGGGAAATTCATCCACTGTGTGCTGTAGGATACAGATTTAGCCTAAAGCAAATGGCATTTATTTATAGCAAACTGTATTTGCAAAATGCTTTGCAGTTTTGGGGTTGTTAACTACATTCCAGGTTGGCTGTTCTTCTACTTAGAAGAAAGCTAAGTGTCATGGCTGGACTCCAAAGCCTCCCTGAGAGCAATGAGATGAATTCTGCAAACAGGAATCAGAGGGGGCCACACCTGGGTGTTCTGGACCAGAAGGCACCTTTGCCTATTATAATCTTTTAAGGAAATAAGGTGGGGTCTCTTCCCTGCCACTCTCCACACACCGACCTCTCTGCTCCCCACCCCAACACTGGGGGGGGCGGGGTTAAAAACAAATGTCAAAGATCAGACCCTCCTGAAGATTTTAGGATTTGGACTCCTCTTTCCCTTACCACAGACATGATGGTTATAGGTGCTCTCTTTGGGCAAAGGGAGATTTATCTGAGCTTTCACCATCGGACTCCATCATTTTAAGGAGTATTTCCCAATTGTGTCTTTAACTGCACATGGAAAATGCATTTCCTCTTTGAAAAATCTCTCTCACAGACACATCTCTATTCTTTGCTGGAGCCTGAATAGATGGCTTTGGGAGTTACCTGCTCATCACCTCGGTATAAATCCAGCTTCTCTCTAGACAGCTCCGTCCTGCATGACGAGGGGACTGGAGGGGCCTTTCAGCAGGCCCGCTTTCTAAGGACCTGAATATTTTCAGGAGAAGGAAAACACGATTCTGGATTAAAACAAGAGTTTGGAGGTCTGCCACCATTTCTTTTGCATCCTCCTCTCCATGCCCCTCTCTCCCTAACCTTGCACCTATCCGGGGCTGGAGGATATTGAGCGGGATTCACTGAGTCTTGATTTTAATGGGGATAGTCAGAAGACTGCCGCCAGGGAACAGCCCCTCAAATGTTTACAGCAATTACAAGCCTTAATGAGGGAGCTCAGGAGGGCAGGGAGGTGGGCACTCAGCTCCACTGTGTTTGGGGATGCAGTGCCCTCTAGTGGCCGCATCTGTCTGTCAGAACGGCGCCTCCTAAGTAATGAAGGGGCCCCTGGCCTACGGAGGGATGTGTATGGGGTGTGTGGTGGGGAGGAGGTGGCAGAGTTCCTGGGTATTTGGGGATTAAAGGTGAGAGAAAAGGAATGTGGTGGCAGATTATTTCCCCCTTGAAGTAAATTTTACTCCATGTGAAGGATATCCAGGGGGATTTTAATTTTCTGTCTCTCAGTTATTTCTGTCTCTCGCTGTGTCTGTTTCTCCTAGGGATACATTTTATGGAATTATGTTACTCATTAATTTTTTACTATTTCATTGAAAAAAATGGTACCACAACAAACTTTGTTAAGTAGCCAGGTGTTACTTTTCACAAGTTTTTCCATGGTGCCAAAGTGGCCCCATAGAATTCATCGCAGATTATTTCCTCTCACAGAAGAGCATTTTAGACTTGATATCCCCATCTAGTGGTCATTTCGTGGGAACTCTTTCCCAGTCCCTTTTGAATCCTTTCTCAACGAGGAAGGCTGTGGGTTGATGAAATGCCCCTGGTCCTCCAAGAGACCCTCAAGCTCTCTGGCACAGTTTGCATAGCAAAACTTTTTAAACTTTATCTTGAAAAGGAACACTGTGTCTTTTCTGATTTTTTTTTTTTTTAATTTCATTCGCTTTCCTTTTTTTTTTTTGCCTGTTTTTCTAGAAATCATTTTGAGAATCCAAGACCTCATTCACCTCACTTATCTCTGCCTGGTTCATATTAGCTGTTGAAGAAGGTTGAGGCCTGGCCAGGGGCTAGGTGAGGAAAGTCCTGCTAGATTGTGCTCACTTTACAAATATTCCCAGCCACGGGCTTGACTGGGGTGCCTAAATCTGAATGTCAGTCAAGATTTACATGTGGCTCTGAGTGACTCTGGGGCTGGCCGGTGTGGGCTCCTGTTTGATAACACCATTCTTTGCTTTGGTGTGTGCAGTTACGCAGTTCTTATAACCTAGGAAAGGCTTCAGTTCAACTCTGGGTTTGTTATTAAACAAATTGCAAATGTGAAATAAATTATAGCTCACATTTATAGTCACTGAGTGAGTCCTTTGCGTTAATGTGCAGAAGGAGTCCCGTGTCAGGGGAGCTTCTGGATGGAAGATGCCTCATCCGCATACTGAGGATATTCATCTGGGAAACAACAGTGTTGAAATGTCTCATGATGTTTGCAAATGGGCTCATATTACATGGCAAACACAAGGGAGGAGGGCAGAGAACTCCCTGGACCCCACAAGAGAGAACCCTGTTAGAAAGTCAGTGAGTTGTAGCTCACAGTCACCTTCTGAAACCCCTTTGCAAACCCTTCCAGCCATTTCCCCCAAAGATCTGGGCCCATCAAGTACCACATTCCTGAGCGGTTCAAGATGACCAGAACGAATGTTCTGGATCTGCCCTTTATTTCTAGAAGCCCAGTGGTCTCTACGAAATTGTTTCATGTTCAGGCCTGTAGCTGTGTCACGAAGGGTCTGGGATCTCTTGTGGAGCCCAAGGGCTTTTGGTCAGTGGACTGTACTTCCAACTTCATCTAGCATGAATAAGTTAAATGGGAAATCATGAAGGCTTGGAAGACAAATATCAAGCCGTGTTTTCTTCCACAGGGAACAAAGTATTACTTATTTTCAGGTAGGCATTTCTCATCTTTGTCACCAAAAATAAACCGACAATTTCTCTAACTCCTTTTCACTCATCAATCAAGGACGTTATAAATCCATCTCTTTGGAGTGCTTTGGAGTACCCAAACTCCCTCCTGTGTTCCGTGCATTGATGAATAATAAAGCAGAAAAGTCCTCTGCCTTCCCAGTGACTTAAAGGCTTTGGAATCTGACAAAATTTGATTCAAATCCCAGCGCTTACATCATACTAGCCGTGTGATCTTGAGGCTCTTGGCCTCACTTTCCTCATCCATAAGATGGGTGCAATGGTAAGAACTCCATGCAGAGAGTTCTTGTAAAGGGTTAAAGGGGGTCTGGAACAGATCTCACTTCATAGTTTGGGTAAATCTTACCTACAGTTATGATTAAACTCTTATGATGATGGCTGGACATGCACTAGCCACTGTGTTACGTACTTTAAAAACATGTTGCCGTTTATTCATCGCACAACGCTAGGTACAGGAATATCTTCATTTTATGGATGAAGAAACTGAGTCCTGGGCTAATCACTGTTGTTACTGTTGGGATTATTGACGACAGTCGTAGATCCTGCAGACACTGCAGATGCGTCCCTCTGAGGGGATCGGTGGGGCTGAGGGTTCTCCAAAAGGAAACAACCTGATCTCACATTTGGAAGGCCGTTTCCAACTCTAATAGGTTACGGGGAGGATGGGTTCCCCACATTGACTGGGACGTTAGAGTCACATCCTTAACAGTGACGTTTTGTGACCTTTCTGGGATTTGACTCCAGCACTCAGGGGCCACAAGATCACGCAAGAGCTTGCTCTTTCGCCTCATTGCCTCATTGCTCCTTTTCATTTTGTGTCTGGCAGGCAACTCCCCATCCGACGAGTCAGAGGAGCGGGAAAGAGACCCGAAGGTGCTGACCTTCCCAGAATACGTCGCCAGCCTGTCAGAGTCTGGCACCAAGCGCATGGCGGCTGGAGTCCGCATGGAATGCCAGAGCAAAGGACGATGCCCCTCATCCTGCCCCCTGTGTCATGTGACATCCAGCCCTGACACTCCTGCTGAGCCAGTTCTGCTGGAGGTGACCAGAGCAGCCCCCATCTATGAACTGGTGACCAACAACCAGACCCAGAGGGTGAGAGGCCTGGGACTCAGGGAAGCATCAACAACAACAGAGGGCTTTCCAAATGGCCATGGTGGGGGGTTGGTGACAGGGTGTAGTTGAGTTCCATGCTAGAATAGGGATACTGAGACTTTATGTTTAGCTAATCCAGGCACATAATTTGCTTAGATTTGCATGTTTGCATATTAAGTCAAATCAGTGCATCCACAACACCCATGGTAATGACTCAGGAGTTACAACTCAGCATTTGTGTAGATTCTTGAGCAACAAGGGCTGGGAAGAAGAAGGTAGATCAGGAGGCGTGGCATTCATAGTCACCAAAGTCATTGTTCAGAAAGCCTCAGGGGACAGTTATGGGGGGGAAGGCCGGCTCCCCTAACAGATCCCAAGCCTGGATTGGCTGCAGCAAGGCTAGAAGGAGTGTGTCGGCATAGGTTCCAAAGGGAAGGGTCCGGTCTTAGCCTGGGGGGGCATGGTGTCCTGCCCATGGCTCTGACTCTAAGAACAAAGACCACAAAACCCCACATCCAAGCAAATCTTCTGCCTTATATTATACTGCCAGGTCATGACGTGTTCCAAGCAGCCCTCCTTTCCCTGTGTGGTTCTCTTTCCAAAGGTGCTACGAGAAAATGAATGGACCCAAAGGGATAAGCTGGAGAACTGTGGCAGAGACAGTGGCTTAGCTCATCCCCTAGCTCTCTGATCTCCTCAAGGACAGAAAGAACAGAGTGGGTCACAACACACGCAACAGCAACGACGATGACAATGACAAGAATAAAAACACAAAAGCTCAGGGTGCGGGGCTTCTGATGCTACAGGCAAAGGTGACCCTGAGGGACCAGACCATAGTAGAGTCAGAGCAGAGAGCTCCTTACCTGCCTGAGAGCTGTGTCCATCCAGGCAGGGTGATGATTGCTTTCTCTTTCCCCTTTTAAGGGACACCTGGTGCGTCACAGTTGTTTCATAGGTGATGCTCCGCCAGCAAGGAGGGATTTTGCACGTGTATGCTGCTCTTGCCAATGATAGTTCAAAGCAAGATTCCTCACAGGAACGAAAGGATAAGTGGTTCCTTTAGCTTATGAATTCCTCTTCATTCTGATGGAAGTGACTGGGGAAGAAGAGCTGGGGAGAGGAGACCACGGAAGGGTGGCTTGCAAGGGTGACAAGACAGGTTGATGTCACCATGGAGACCCAAACCTGCAGTGGCTTTAATCCAGTGCCCTTACCTGCCCCACTTTGTCTTCTGGGGGAGCACCCGAGGCCGCTGCAGCTGGTGTCCCAAGAGCTCCTGAGCACTTGGCCTGGACTAGCAGAGGCAGGGAATACGCTCATAGCACCACCCTATGGGACAAGGCACGCGAAGCTGCAGAGTAGGGAAGAGCTGGGTGAGAGAGGAGGACAAAGACCCCCAGCGTCTGGCAGGGGCGTCGTGGGTAAAATGGGGAAGCTGAAGGAATTTGTGCCTTTAGCATCTCCCTCTCTGGATCTCCTACTTGCCAGACCTTGGCCCTTCCCTGTCTCTCTGCACTGGTTTTAAGAGAGGGGTTGGGAGAGATCGTCCATCTGGCCGTATTTGAACGTTGTAATTTCTGAACACATAGACAAGGTGGCCCCAGCTGCTCCCGTCACCATCCCATGTTTCTTCTCTCTCATTCCTTAGACATAGTCTGTCTTCTCTGTTCATTCTCTCTGTTCCTCCACTCTTCCTTCTAATTTTCCCTTTCTCACAAAGAATGCAGATATGGAGTGAAAAAGCGAACGAAGAGGGGTGCTAAGTCACGACACCAGTAAACTCGGTGTGTGTTCTTATCTCTACCCCTCTGGTAGGTCTGGGGCCAATTTTCTAACCTCTCTTGGCCTCCTTCTGTTGGACTAGATCATCTATGATGCCATATTTCAGTCTAGTGATTAGAAACAGTCTAGAAACCAATAGGTCAAACTATATAACCCACCAGGTGTCTCCAACCCAACATCTTCCACCCCAAACAGTTACCACTGTGCTTCAGTCTCGGTGAATGGGATTCTTTTCTACCAAGTTGCCCAAGCTGGAGGCCAAGTGTGCTTCCCTGACTTTTCTTGTCACTCCCTAACATGTATCTATCATCACCAGGGACTACAAATACTTTGAATCCATCCTTTTCTGATTGTACCTTCATCACCGTCTTCCACTGTAATAGCAGGCCACCATCTTCTTGTTACAGTAGCTTCTTACTGGTTTTCCTGTGAGACCAGTCAGAGTTTTCTGTCTGATACAGACATCAGGTCCTATTGCAGCAGGGCAATTCAGTAGCTCCGCAGAATCTGTTAAATACAATCTAGAGTCCTTAGCATATCGTTATAAGGGCAGTTCATTGTCCAATTTGGTCCTCGCTTACGTGGTTAGGTTGTGTCTACTTTATGCTTTATATTCTACCCCCCAAATTTTAACTCCTGGTACCTCCTTAAACACAACACATTTTCTGTCATGCATCTGGCCCTTCAGACTTGTCACTCTCTCTCTCGCAGGAATGGCCTCTCCTACATTTCTGCCAACGGCAGTACTTCCAGGTTTCAGCTCAAGCATCCACAGCTATAACAAGCCCTCCCTCGTTCTCCCAGGCCAGCCCCTGTTCCTTCAAGTGGCTCCCACTGTCTGTGTCCCTGCATCTTCTGAAGCACGTATCGCCTGCTGTCACGAGTGCTCACATATTTGTTTATGCATTTGTCCTGTAGACTCTGAGAAGCACTCATTCTTCTATGGAATCCCAGCTCCTAGCTGACATGTAGTTGACACCCCGCTGGATAAATGAGTGAAATAAATAAATGGAGGAAGGAACGGAGGGGTGAACTTGGCCTGAAAGTTCAGCTGCTTTCCCTAAAACAAAATAAGAACAAAAATGGGAAAATCCTATTTCTTTTGGGGAACCGGGATTAAATTTCATAACAAATGAGGATCCCCATGCAATGCCTGCCACATTCTAGATACCAAGAAAAATGTAATTTTTTTTCCTTTTCCTTTCCAGAAGGGCTCCTTCTTGATTTCCCCTCTTCTACCCCAGCCTACCTTCCACAGTTACCGATAGCCCAGGATTGAGAGAGTAGAAACTTGTGGAATTGTGTGAACCGAAGGTGGAAAGTTAAAGCTTTCGAAGAAATGTCTATCATAAGTGTTGGTCCTTACTTCTTTGGGTTGAAAATCGGATCATGTTTCTCCCCTGTTTCAAACACTTTCCCCTGCTCTTAGAATGGGACACCACCCCTCACCATGGACCACAGGGTCTCTGTAACCGGCCCCACCCCCTCCCACTTGCTGAGCACATCTTTGTCCTTCACTCTGGCTCTTGCAGCCAAGAGAGCCTTTACTCGGTTGATTTTAAAGGTTAAGTGTCACCCAGGCTGAAGTCATCTTAATATTGGTTTTTCCACCTGGAACGCTTCCCCATCTTTTGTGACCAGATAACTCGTGATCTGTCCTTCAGTGCAGATGAAAACACACATGCTCATGGAGGCCTTCCCAAACCTCTCTGTGAAGTTATCCCCCTTCCTTTTCCCTCCTGTCGCAAGTCACCCTTTTCCTTTGGAGCCCTTACCACCAGTCCTACTAATTTGGTTGCTTATGTAACTTTTGTCTGTTCCTTTGTTTGTTGTTTGGCTGCAAGATGTATGTGGGCAGGGGCTGACTATGTCTAATGCCACCCTGTATCCTTCATGCTTAGCACAGGAGCCAGACCCTTACAGGTGCTTAGCCAGTACTTGTTGATTGAAGACCGCACGCGGGCGGCCACAATTTCCTCTTTTTTCTACCCCTCTCAACGGAAGTCGGTTTTCCTAGCTTAAGAAAGTATACTTTTGGTTTGAGTTTGGTTCAGTCAGGCGAAACATGGAGTGAGCACCTACGGTGCACCGGGCTTCCTGCTGGGAGCCGGCGGACAATCAGTCACTTTGAGCCCAGGTTCTGGGGTGGCCCGCACTCACTAGCCTGTGACCCTGAGCAAGTCCCTAACTTCTTTGACTCTAAGTGTCCTCCACTGTAAATCCTGTTTACCATGGAGCTCAAACTACGGTGTTAGCCCTAAAAGGGCCTTGAAATTCTGAAACTACACACATATTATCCTGATAATCAAGAATTGGTCCCTGCTCCCTCGAAGCTCCCAATCTGGGAGTAGGAGGGTGGGAGAGGGGTCACTATGAACCCTTATGTGAAGCTCTGGGAGAATGTAACTTAGGGGATTAGCTTGCAGCTTAGACATTTCAGTTTTTGTAGGGTTATCTGTCAGTTTTTTCTTACGCTCTTCTTTCTTTTCCTTCCTTCCTTCCTTCCTTCCTTCTTTCTTTCCTTCCTCCCTCCACCCCCCCTGCCCCCCACTTCCAATGTTTTTGGCCTAAAATTTCCCAAGATGGCTGCTTCCTTTCTCTAATTTGCCAGTTCTGTGTGGGTTTGGTAAGAGTGGGTCAGAGAGAAGAGACTCAAAGGAAAAGCAGAGGCTGCGGACAATGAGCTGACCCAGAGAGAAAGCTGACCTCGGCCAGAGGGCACAGCCACACACCTTGTGGCCAGCTTCGCCCTCTCCCTGCCCCTGGGCTGGGGTGGAGGCAGCAGGGCCCCGCTGAGGGGTCAGTGCCCGTCAGGATCTTCTTCCTCACCAGGGAATTGTCCCATCTCAAGTTCTGTTCCCTGACTAGTCTAATTTTATCTTTTTGTCCTTTCATCAAATAGGGAATATGTGCCGTGAAATCACTGTATGTAAAGAATTGTCCTAGGCTCTGTGGCATTTGTATGCTTCCGCAGAAGACGCAAGCCTCTCATTCAAACATAATAATAATTGCTGACATTTACTGATGACTGATGTACGGTTTATATGTGACTAATGCGTGCACAGCACAGGTATTATGCTATGCCCTTTGGCGTATATTATTTTGGGTCATGATCACAACAGCCCTATGAGGAGAGTGCTGTTTCTGTCCCATTTTTCCACTGAGGAAACCAAGTGGATCTAATTTGCTCCAGGTCACATGGCAGTGATTTGCAGAGCCGAAGTCCTCACCCAGGGCAAACAGCTCTGGAGCGCAGTTCTTCACCTGGTTGCGGCTCTGTTTCGACCTTCTACCAGGAAAGAGAGGCCTCACACTCAAGCACAACCCAAGGCAGATCTGCATAAATATTGTACGTGGGCTACAAGGCACACTGAAGGAATGCGGCAGAGGGGCAGTGCTGGGCAGGAGGCAGAGGGCAGATGAGGATGCACAGACAGGCATTTGAGAAAGGGCCAAGTGCCTAAGGGTGGAGAGAAGAGGGGTCAGGGCAGTGGATGGTCGAGAGGTTATTGTTGCTAGGGCCCTGGGTGTGGAGTGATGACGGATGGAGAAGAAGGGAGAAGTAAGACTTGCTTCCAAGGTGACAGCCCTCAACCATAGGGGTGAACTGGCACATTAAGGAGAAAGCAGCACCAGGGAGGTCCTGCGAGGTCTAGTTTCCTAGAATCGGTCTCCTGGGGTAGGAATTTTAAATAAAAAAATGGTGAAGTGGTGTCCCAGCCTACTGGCTGAAAGTAATCTAGAACCAAGCAAAGCCTGGATTCTGTCTCTTGACGGTGGTGACCCAGCCCTGGCTCCTGGACACTCACTCTTCCTTCTCTTGCAGCTCTTGCAGGAGGCCACCATGAGCTCACTCTGGTGCTCAGGGACTGGAGATGTCATCGAGGACTGGTGTCGATGCGACTCCACAGCTTTTGGAGCGGATGGACTCCCCACCTGTGCACCTCTCCCACAGCCTGTGTATGACTCCCCTTCTCTGCCTCTCTGTTGCGTGCCCGCCTCTGCACGGTTCTGCAAATGTGTATCACAGGGCATCCAGTTGTTGCAAAGCAATAGACCGGGGGCCAGGGAACAGGAAGAAAAACATGAGGCAGCTGCGGGCCTCAGCGAGCTTTCAGTCTTAGAGATGCAGCCCGCAGTGTGTCAAAGGAGAAGACATGGGCTGTAAGAGCTATCAGAGACGTTTAAGTCAAGTGTGAAAGGGAATGTTCAAGTGTGAATTGGGGGGGCATGGCGAAGGCTTCATGAAGGAGATGGCACTTGAGTTTCTCCCTGAAGGTAGAGAGGGTAGGACTGCATGGCCAGAAGATCAGAGGGCTAAAGTGATGTCGCTGGGGAGGGAGTGAGAGATTGGTAGTGAGACTCTACTAGGCCAGTGACACATTTCCTGGGTGGCAGCTCTGTGTGGAGCCGTTAGGTACTGTTATCACTTACGTTTAAGAGACAAGGAAATGTATTCAGATGCTCTGAATGATTTTTCCAAGGCCCTCAAGCAGGAAGCAGAGCTGCCGCCGCTAAGAGACCATGATCTCAGCCATCATAGGGTTGAGAGGACACAACGGACAGATGATTTGGGGTAGAACCAACAGGGGGGGTGGGTGGGAGGGGGGTTGTGGGTGACTTGCTGGTGTGGGAGGGAGAAGGAGGGAGAAGTTGAGAATGGACCTATGACTTTGGCCTCCGTGGCTGGGAAGACAAATAAGCCACAGCTGAGAAGAGAAGCATCCAGGGACATGCAGGTTTGAGGAGGAAGCTGTGTCCACTTGGACCCGTCTTGGAGATATAGCAGGGCAGTTCTACCGAGATGTTCGGTGGTCAGAGGGAAAGACGGTTTGGAGAACTAGACATCTACTAGAGATAAGAAGATTTAAATCAACCCCAAAGAAATGAGCAATGGAACCCCAGCTATGAGAAAGGATCCTCCCGAATAAGTATCAACTGGAAAGAGGAGAGGGTCAGAGATGAGTATTAGGGGCTGTCTGCATTTGAGGGGTGAACAGAGTACAAAGGGTTGCCAAGGTGGTTCAGGAAGAACATGTCCAATTTCCTTGCCCTCAGGGGAAGGCTGCACAGAACTGGTCAAATCCCTGTGAATCCTGACGGGCTAAGGCCTGAGGCAGGCAACCCCTTAGCCTCTGCTGTGACATCTGTACTGGGAGTGACGCACAGACATATGGTGTCTAATAAGGAGTGCTGGCAGGAACCGCTGGAGTCGCATGGCCCCACGGGTTGTTGAGGCACAAAAAGCCCAAAGGGAGAATCAGGACCCGTGGGAATAGGAGGGCTAAGTCAGCAGGAGGACGCCAGCAAGTGAGAGACCGGTTGTGCGGATGCTGCCCTCCGGCCTGATGCAGGCAAGTGCTGGCGGGCATCAAAGAGCCAGGACCGAACAGGAAGAGAACCAAGAAAGATGAGACACAACAGTAGATTATCAGCGCAAACCAACGTCTTCTCTTGCCCACATGCCCTCTCTCTATGGGTAGTTTTAGATACACCAGTGCTTGGCTTCTTCCTCTTTACGGCCATGACTTGGACCTCTTGAGTCAAAGGAGAATCAAGGTCATTATTAGTCATGGTCCTTTCTTTTGGTATAAAGGGAGCCACTAGAAGCAGATGGTGCTTCTAGATGAATTCGCCCACTAAGAAAACTACCTCATTTTTGACACAACACTGAGGCCACTAAACAGTTATCATCATTTGGACACAAGATCCAACCATTGGTGTCTTAGGGCTGATTTTCTTTCTAAACCTGTGTTTACTGTATGTTATTGCTAAAGATCAAATTGGGCTAAATTTCCATAAGCAGGAACATCTACTAAGGACTTCACTTCTCTTGTCAACTTTAATCACTTCTTTTAGTAGCAGACCTTAGTTTCTTGAACGTTTCTTGGTAATTGGAAATAGAAATGCACTCTGGTTTTACACGAGTCTATGTAAATCATGCGTGCTGCTGTTTCTCAGTAGAGGCCGGCTTTGGTCCGCATTTTCACAGAATCTGACTTCTCAGAAAGGCTTAGTTACTTACTTAAGCTTCCTAATGCTTTTTTCTTCAAAATAGCACTCGGCATATGACTCTAATTAATGAATTCGTCAATATCCGCACTGTTTTGGGTCTACTCCATCTTTCATGTCATCTGCAAACTATGCACTCCTTCATAGTAAGCCACTAAGGAGCATGTGTTTTGCATTATTTTCCCACTGGTTGAATTCCTTGCTATTGCTCCCACAGCCTCCCGTGATTTCTTCTTAAAGTTCTTATCACACATTATTATAATCACATGTAGAATTGTATGTTTTTCTATTGACCACTCCACAAAAGAGGGGGCTATGGGGCACATGGGTGGCTCAGTAGGTTAAGCGTCTGCCTTCGGCTCAGGTTGTGATCCCAGGGTCCTGGGATCGAGCCCCGCATCGGGCTCCCTGCTCAGTGGGAAGCCTGCTTCTCCCTCTCCCACTCCCCCTGCTTGTGTTCCCTCTCTCGCTGTGTCTCTCTCTGTCAAATAAATAAATAAAATCTTAAAAAAAAAAAAGAGAAGGGGCTGGAGCTGGCTCGAGCACCACTGCATCTTGAGCACCAAGCACATTCTGATACGTAATAGGTGCTCAACAAACATTTGCTGAATTGAAATTGACCGTTGCCTTGGTGTGTTCCATCTGTAGCACCTGGCACAATGACCCCCTGAGACCAGTGACAGGCATCTGTGAGCTGAGTAGAGAGCAGAGGTCGATGATTATGGGAGGTCGTGAGATATGGGGACCAAGGATGAGGGTGAATGGCAGGGATGGCATGTGACGGATGGAGACTGGAATGAGCAGGAGCCAGGAAAATCCCTAGAAGCCAGTGGTCTAGAAAGAAACCCGGAATTGGAGGCAAGTGAGAAATCTGAGATATACGTATGAAGTCAGAACAAGGTAACAAATTGAAACCAATTGGACCATTAGGAGATCCGTACCACGAACGTCAATAATGTGTAGTGAGTCTCTGCAAGGCACAAGGACGTATGAGAAGGCAAGGCAAAAGAGTGGTGAAAATGGACAATTTGCATGGAAGGAAGAGACTCTGAATTGGGAAAAACAAAGAAAGACTGGAGTCGGGAATCAGGATAGTCAAAGAAATCCAAGAACAAAAAAAGAACCTGAAAGCAGAGCTCAGGTTTGCAGCCACAGGACATCACCCCGAGGAGAACTTGACATGTGGTCAACTTTCTCTTGCCTGGTAAAGCCCCCCAGGAGCATAGCCTCCAAACCTGTTGCAAGGCCCAGCCAGCAGAAGGTGTCAGGAAGAAAATATGTTAGTACCCATAGCAAAAGGGGAAGCCAGGGTTCCCCCCACAGAGCAGATCCTGGTAACGCTATGGAAAGTGAGCCTTGTTAATGCAGGGCTCTCCCAGACACCACCTCAGTGAGCCTTGGCATGAGCTTTATAGGCACATTCTCCTATTTTCAAGCGCAAATCCAGAAATTATATTTGCAAGCCCTATACAGGGCCACCCAGAAAGCCCTGCCCACTGACCCTATAAGATGTAGGTGCTCATTCATTTTTGATTCACCTACTTATTTATTTATTTGCAAACAGATGTTGAGTTCCTAATATGTAAAAGGCACTTAAGAGTAATAAAATACAGATTCCAGGGACCTTCAAGAACCATTGCTCTCTAGTGAAGGAGACAGGTGCTCAGAGAGATCGTTGCAGTGGTTGGTTAAGAAAGGTTAGAAGGAAGATTTGAGGGTGTAACAATTGAGAAGGTGGCCAGTATCAGAAGAGCATCGCAGGACCCAACAGGTCCCCATGTCATGTCTCTTCCTGTCTTGCACTCAGGCTGAGACTCTCCACAGTTCATGAGCCCAGCAGCACCCTCGTGGTCCTAGAGTGGGAACACTCAGAGCCTCCAATCGGGGTGCAGATTGTAGATTACCTCATCCGTCAGGAAAAGGTCACTGACAGGATGGACCACTCCAAAGTGGAGACAGGTGAGCCTCTCCAACTTCATGGGCTCATCTTAATCCATTGGTAAAAAGAAGAGAAAAGGAAAATGTCCTGCCTCCTGGCCTATGCTCCTGGTCCCCGGTGTCCAAGGGCAGTGCGGGGGTGGGAGTGGGGTGGGGGCCGGAGGTGGGGAAGCAAGAACAGCCATCTCGTCCATTTAAGAGTTTTTGCATGGTGAGCATCTGACAAAGTCTTGTTTTGATTTTGTTTTTCTTTTTGTTTATTAAAGAGGTGTCCATTTCATTGCCTCTAGGCACACTCACAAAGAAACAACAATACAGTACACTAGTTATCCTAGCCCACAATTAGGAAACAATTCTGTGCTAACCACTGCCATGATTACAGGAAAAAAAAATTCCTTTGCTAATAACCCCCCTCTGGGCAAAAGCATGCGCAAACAGATGTGCTTACCCCATGTCTTGTCCTAAAGCAAACTCTGCAGTTGCCAGGTCCAGCTAGAAGAGGGAAGTCTTCAAGAAGTGGAAACACCCCATGAACAATGTTCCATGCCCTAGTATTTTGCTGCCTACATGTAGGGAAAGGTCAACATAAATCATCCCTAAAACCTACGCATGAGTGTGGCACCCCACAGGATGGTGGCGTCCACAGTCTGATGCAGGGTGAATAAGCTCTGCGAAAATGGTCAGCGAGGCTGGGAGACATATGCACGGCCTTCAGGCATGGGGAGCTGTCTCTTGCTTCCTCCAAGGCCCTGTCCCTAATGCACACAGGTACTGCAAAGGGCTGGCAGGGACCATTGCCCTCAGCAGCTGCTCCCTACCTTTGCCAAGAACATTTCATAAAAGAGCTCACACATGTGTGTACATCTTGCCGTAGTTGTGTCTGAACTCACTCTGGACAAATGGCTCTAAATTGATTAAACATGAAACAGAAAAGACAATTCCTTCTAGGTCTTTTTTCTCTACTAGGAATTTGAGAAGACTGGGGACCAAGCAGTTCTAATGTTAAGTTCTCATTGAACTGATGCCATCTCCTTGCTTGGCCAGCACGGTTTCTCATGGCCTTTTCCATTCCTTCCCCTCCCCCACCCGGAGCAGAAACAGTACTGAGCTTTGTGGACGACATCATCTCTGGAGCAAAGTCTCCTTGTGCCATGCCTGCTCAGGTGCCAGACAAGCAGCTCACCACTATCTCTCTGATCATTCGATGCCTGGAACCGGACACCATCTACATGTGAGTGACACACGCCTGCCTGGCTTTTCCTTACCCTGAACGTCCCGAGGCTCTGAGCTCCTTCCTTTTTGTGCTTGAGTTCCTTCAGAAACTCGGAGAAATATTTTGAGTTTCTCAAGTCTTACCCTGATCGGCATTATAGAGAACTTTCTAGGGACCGGAAAGGGAGGATTAAGAAAGACAAGAGAGCCCCATCCTTCAAAGAGTTTGCAACACAGAAAGGAAATATACAAAGAGCTAAATTTAACATCCGATAGGAAGACATAGAGGCTAGATAGAAGAACAAGGAACATGTAGAAAGAGAAGGGAAAGGAGGGGCTAATTCTAACTAGAGTGGACATCACTCACTTGGGTCGTGTAGAATTTCGGTATGTAGAGTGATGCGGGAAAAGGCAGAGCAGGCTGAGGAACCAGCAAGGGCAAACGCAAAGAGGCATGAAGGTGAATAGCAAGTAGTCCAGTCGAGTGGAAGCAGATGGTGAGTAAAAGGGAATGGAAGAAAGTGATTCTGGAAAAAGAGAGTGAATGCTCTAAGTCAAGGGAGATTATTAATTTTTTTAGATGAAAGAATAGAATAGCAAGAACTCAGCTTTAGAAAGCTAGCTCCAGTGACGTCGAAATAGTTTATAGAGGTAGAGATGGGCAACATTTTTCTCCAAGGAAAATATGGTGGACTCCTATCTCATGGCACTTGGAACAGCCCTGTTCTCTATGGGAGTGCTTCCTCATTTCTCCCTGTGTTCCTGGAACAATAGTAAAATAGTTGTGAAGCAGAGACATAAAAGATGCTCTTGTGAGAGGAGAGAGGTTGAGGGAATCTAAGTCATGATGGGAAAACAGGGAGGGCGGGCAAGGCAGAATTCCTGGTGATGTAGTTCTGGGACCTTTTGACCCCATTGGTATTACAGTTTACAGATGAGGTCACAAGAATAGAGTCAGAGTAGCCAGAATAAATCATCTCCATTTCCACAGGTAAAGAATTCAAAGGTGAAAAGCACTAGAAATGTAAGTGGCATTGACTGCAAGATGAACGAGATGCTCAGGCTGAATGGCTTCCATCTTGGAAAGAGATGTAACTAGGGAGCCATACTAGTAAAATATGCCAAGACAAGGGATATTCTAGAGGAGCTGGAAAATACAGAGCAATGGAAAGGATGGTTCCACGACAAGGGAAAGCTGCCCAACTTAGGATTTTTAGCAGCTCTCTTGCTATTGGGCAGGTGTAGCCCTTTATGAGGAGGGGAAACAGGCAAAAGGAGGAAAGATTAAGGACGGTGCGGTAAAATGCCTCAAACTCAGTGAAACTGGAATTCTTACTTTTATAATAAGAGTTCCCTAATTCCTGTCACTAAGTCACAGCTGTTAATTAGGAATTTTGAAATTCCTGTGAACCAGCCCTTCACCCATCTTGGGACCCTACTCACGTTGGTCTGATTTGGCCACATTTCCTGATCAAAGCCCTAAGACTGATACCTTCTCCCTCTCTGCAGTCTTTGGTGAACTTCCAGCGTTGCCCTCTTAAGTCTCGTAAAGCACCAGCTTTCTGTCTGTGTTGATGATGAAGTCAGAGTGCTTGGGGCGGAGGGAAGAAGCCGCCGGCTAGGTGGCTCTCCACTAGGTGGCGCTGCAGATCACGCGAAGAGGGCCTTGGAGGGCCTGGGAGAGCCGGGCCTCCTTGTAGCTTGAAGCCAGACCTTCAGAGCCTGGTAGGAGGACAGAGCCCCGGATTAATGGCTGGAAACACATGGCCCCAAGCCTGGTTCTGTTTCTAAGCACTAGTCATTGTAAGCAGGATTGCAATGAAGTTTCCTTATCATTAACAGGAAGGGTTCGGCCTTCACTTATGGGGTGCTTACTGGGTGCGGGAGTCCCTGGGAACCCTCGGGGACCCTGTGAGGTTGGGGTCTTGCTCTCATCTCATAGTTGAGGAAACTTGAGTTTCAGCAACACAGAGTCGCAAGCTGGTTGTCTGGGGTGTGGCGGTGGTTAAGAATTGAATCAGGGTTTGCGTTTTCTTCGCTGACTGCTTCTCACTCCGCAGCCACTCCAGGCTACCAGAAGGATCCAGCAGCATGATCTCATTTCCTCACGTGAAAGCGTGGAGCTGGCTCTTCACCTGGGCTCCACAGAGGTGGAAGGGCGTTTCAGCGTAGCTGGCTTATTTTGTCAGCCTGTGCGATTGAGAGAATTCTGGGTCCACAGTACAAAAACATTTAATTCCCTGGTTGAAAGGGATCTTAAAGTGTGTCTGCTTCGACATCTTCAGTTTACAGAGAAGGAAACTGAGGCCCGAGCGGAGAGGTGACTCCCTTTCTAGCCCACGCCCCTCGTCCCAGCCTGTGCTCACAGGAAAACTACTGCCTTTGGGAGCGAGCAGGAGCCGATGGACAGTTCGGAAAAGGGGAGTGGATGGGGCGCCTGGGTGGCTCAGTTGGTTAAGAGACTGCCTTCAGCTCAGGTCATGATCCTGGAGTCGCGGGATCGAGTCCCGCATCGGGCCCCCTGCTCAGCAGGGTGTCTGCTTCTCCCTCTGACCCTTCCCCCTCTCATGTGCTCT